CTGGCATTTTAGTCGCCTCATACGACATACATGCCTTGTGGAGGAAAGATTCTTTTCCACTTCCCCATGGAGAACAGAGGATATAAAGAATATGAGCTATTAAGAAAAAAGAAAAACCTAGATGTGTGTGTATATATATATATATATATATTTTTTTTTTTTCAACAAGTTGGCCGTCTCCCACCGAGGCAGGGTGACCCAAAAAAGAAAGAAAATCCCCAAAAAGAAAATGCTTTCATCATCATTCAACACTTTCACCACACTCACACATTATCACTGTTTTTGCAGAGGTGCTCAGAATACAACAGTTTAGAAGCATATACGAATAAAGATGCACAACATATCCCTCCAAACTGCCAATATCCCAAACCCCTCCTTTAAAGTGCAGGCATTGTACACTTCCCATTTCCAGGACTCAAGTCCGACTATATGAAAATAACCGGTTTAACCCTCGCCCGCAAAACCTCCTTTACCCCCTTTCTCCAACCCTTTCGAGGACGACCCCTACCCCTCCTTCCTTCCCCTATAGATTTATATGCTTTCCATGTCATTCTACTTTGATCCATTCTCTCTATATGACCAAACCACCTCAACAACCCCTCTTCTGCCCTCTGACTAATACTTTTATTAACTCCACACCTTTTCCTAATTTCCACACTCCGAATTTTCTGCATAATATTTACACCACACATTGCCCTTAGACAGGACATCTCCACTGCCTCCAACCATCTCCTCGCTGCTGCATTTACCACCCAAGCTTCACATCCATATAAGAGTGTTGGTACTACTGTACTTTCATACATTCCCTTCTTTGCCTCCATAGATAACGTTTTTTGACTCCACATATACCTCAACGCACCACTCACCTTTTTTCCCTCATCAATTCTATGATTAACCTCATCCTTCATAAATCCATCCGCCGACACGTCAACTCCCAAGTATCTGAAAACATTCACTTCTTCCATACTCCTCCTCCCCAATTTGATATCCAATTTTTCTTTATCTAAATCATTTGATTCCCTCATCACCTTACTCTTTTCTATGTTCACTTTCAACTTTCTACCTTTACACACATTCCCAAACTCATCCACTAACCTTTGCAATTTTTCTTTAGAATCTCCCATAAGCATAGTATCATCAGCAAAAAGTAACTGTGTCAATTCCCATTTTGAATTTGGTTCCCCATAATTTAATCCCACCCCTCTCCTGAACGCCCTAGCATTTACTTCTTTTACAACCCCATCTATAAATATATTAAACAACCATGGTGACATTACACATCCCTGTCTAAGACCTACTTTTACTGGGAAGTATTCTCCCTCTCTTCTACACACCCTAACCTGAGCCTCACTATCCTCATAAAAACTCTTAACAGCATTTAGTAACTTACCACCTATTCCATATACTTGCAACATCTGCCACATTGCTCCTCTATCTACTCTATCATATGCCTTTTCTAAATCCATAAATGCAATAAAAACTTCCCTACCTTTATCTAAATACTGTTCATATATATGCTTCAATGTAAACACTTGATCTACATATCCCCTACCCACTCTGAAGCCTCCCTGCTCATCCACAATCCTACATTCTGTCTTACCTCTAATTCTTTCAATTATAACCCTACCGTACACTTTTCCTGCTATACTCAGTAAACTTATTCCTCTAAAATTTTTACAATCTCTTTTGTCCCCTTTCCCTTTATATAAAGGGACTACACATGCTCTCCGCCAATCCCTAGGTACCTTCCCCTCTTTCATATATTTATTAAACAAAAGTACCAACCACTTCAACACTATATCCCCCCCTGCTTTTAACATTTCTGTCATGATCCCATCAGTTCCAGCTGCTTTACCCCCTTTCATTCTACGTAATGCCTCACGTACCTCCACCACACTTACATTCTTCTCTTCTTCACTCCTAAAAGATGGTATACCTCCCTGGCCAGTGCATGAAATTACCACCTCCCTTTCTTCCTCAACATTTAAAAGTTCCTCAAAATATTCTCGCCATCTACCTAATACCTCCCTCTCCCCATCTACTAACTCCCCTACTTTCCCTAGGCTTTCTTAACTTGTTTAACTCCAAAATTTTTTCTTATTTTCATTAAAATTTCTTGACAGTGCCTCTCCCACTCTATCATCTGCTCTCCTTTTGCACTCTCTCACCATTCTCTTCACCTTTCTTTTACTCTCCATATACTCTCCTCTTCTTATAACACTTCTGCTTTGTAAAAACCTCTCATAAGCTACCTTTTTCTCTTTTATCACACCCTTTACTTCATCATTCCACCAATCACTCCTCTTTCCTCCTGCCCCCACCCTCCTATAACCACAAGCTTCTGCCCCACAGTCTAATACTGCATTTTTAAAACTATTCCAACCCTCTTCAACCCCCCCACTACTCATCTTTGCACTAGCTCACCTTTCTGCCAATAGTCGCTTATATCTCACCCGAACTTCCTCCTCCCTTAGTTTATACACTTTCACCTCCCTCTTACTTGTTGTTGCCACCTTCCTCTTTTCCCATCTACCTCTTACTCTAACTGTAGCTACAACTAAATAATGATCCGATATATCAGTTGCCCCTCTATAAACATGTACATCCTGGAGCCTACCCATCAACCTTTTATCCACCAATACATATCCAGAGGCGTGGAGTTAAAAGATAAAGAATCACACATAAAGTGGGAGTTGTCACAGTTGCTCTTTGCTGATGACACTGTGCTCTTGGGAGATTCTGAAGAGAAGTTGCAGAGATTGGTGGATGAATTTGGTAGGGTGTGCAAAAGAAGAAAATTGAAAGTGAATACAGGAAAGAGTAAGGTTATGAGGATAACAAAAAGATTAGGTGATGAAAGATTGGATATCAGATTGGAGGGAGAGAGAATGGAGGAGGTGAATGTATTCAGATATTTGGGAGTGGAAGTGAGTGTCAGCGGATGGGTCTATGAAAGATGAGGTGAATCATAGAATTGATGAGGGGAAAAGGGTGAGTGGTGCACTTAGGAGTCTGTGGAGACAAAGAACTTTGTCCTTGGAGGCAAAGAGGGGAATGTATGAGAGTATAGTTTTACCAACGCTCTTATATGGGTGTGAAGCATGGGTGATGAATGTTGCAGCGAGGAGAAGGCTGGAGGCAGTGGAGATGTCATGTCTGAGAGCAATGTGTGGTGTGAATATAATGCAGAGAATTCGTAGTTTGGAAGTTAGGAGGAGGTGCGGGATTACCAAAACTGTTGTCCAGAGGGATGAGGAAGGGTTGTTGAGGTGGTTCGGACATGTGGAGAGAATGGAGCGAAACAGAATAACTTCAAGAGTGTATCAGTCTGTAGTGGAAGGAAGGCGGGGCAGGGGTCAGCCTAGGAAAGGTTGGAGGGAGGGGGTAAAGAAGGTTTTGTGTGCGAGGGGCTTGGACTTCCAGCAGGCATGCGTGAGCGTGTTTGATAGGAATGAATGGAGACAAATGGTTTTTAATACTTGACGTGCTGTTGGAGTGTGAGCAAAGTAACATTTATGAAGGGGTTCAGGGAAACCGGCAGGCCGGACTTGAGTCCTGGAGATGGGAAGTACAGTGCCTGCACTCTGAAGGAGGGGTGTTAATGTTGCAGTTTAATTAAAAGCTGTAGTGTAAAGCACCCTTCTGGCAAGACAGTGATGGAGTGAATGATGGTGAAAGTTTTTCTTTTTCGGGCCACCCTGCCTTGGTGGGAATCGGCCGGTGTGATAATAAAAATATATATATATATATGTGTGTGTGTGTGCATGTGCATTCCTGTGTAGTGTGACTTAAGTGTAAGTAGAAGTAGCAAGGTATACGTGTTATCCAGAGTGTTTATGAGACAGAAAAGACACCAGGAATCCTACCATCATGTAAAACAGTTACAGGTTTCTGTTTGACACTCACCTGGCAGGACAGTAGTACCTCCCAGGGTGGTTGTTGTCTACCAACCTACTCTTATTAGTCCATATTCTTAACCAGCATCAAAAATGTTGAATTATAGTAGTGATTTTTTTTTGTGTGTGTGCGTGAAATTTTTTCTTTAGAAATACCAAACGGGCTCGATGGAAGTCTTTGCATAAGCAATTACATCCCATAAATGTGAAAACTGCTGTTATATACATATATACATGTCATGCTGAATAGGTAAAACTTCTGACCTTGACTTAAATAGCAATGCACTTCTTGCTAAACCTAACGAAAAAAAATAATTTCATTGCGCTTGTTTATTATTAAATTACTGTAAACTTATCTAAAATATATTTAGATGGTTTAGGCTAAATTGCACTTGTTATAATAAGGTTAGGTAAGTTTTCTAAGGTTGTTTTGGTAAAAAATTATTAATTTTACATTACATAAATGAAACAAATATATCTTTAAATGTATAAGAGAAAATTTTAGAAAGGATATAATTTTAAACAAGTTCTTCCTAACTGACCAATTTTAGATAGTCCAAATATACTTTATTTGTAAACCCCATACCCTATGTTGTCATTATTATTATACAAAACTCAGTGCTAAACCCACCAGAGTAATACAACACACAAGCTGTCAGAGGGTTGGATATACCAGCATTTATTTTCTAATTATGTGGCCCTTTCAGGGGAGGTTCCTTGATGTTGGTGAGGGGCTTCTAGATCCAAGGAATTGAATCTGACATCCCCTTGGATAAATTATTGGGCTGTATGACCCACAAGGGTCATACAACCCTTTGGATAAAACCTAATTACTTCTTCAGCAAGTACCCCTGCCAGGGTGTCTTGTTAGTGGTTACAGAACTTTTTATTTAGGGAACCAGAGCTCCCTTACCCTTTCTGGAGATCAAATCAGCTTTCCTTCCATTCAGACATGTTAGTGGCTGTCTTTGTACCAAACAATATTTTATAGCATGTAAATCACACATTGTATATTATGTAAAGAAATAAAAAATCAATTTCCCATGAATTTTATGGCTCTTAGGTATTCAGTGCTTCTCCACAAATATAATAATGCACTTCCAGCAGGTTACCACGGGTATGTCCTCTTTGCCTGGCTCTACGGCATCTTCTGTGGTGGGTTCCACTACTCCCTCAAGATGTACACCTACGAAAAGGTGCGAGCACGCAACTTTGCGCGGACATGGGGCTTTGTGCAGTGCTCCCAGGCCATCCCCACTGCCATAGGTGTCCCTATTACAGGTGAGGACTGTTGATCCCCACAGCCATAAGTGAAATATTAGAGAATCCACAGGCTACAGTACATCAGGGCCCTACTTAGGCTACTATTCCTGGAGAGTGGGGCATCTTAATGTTAGTGAAGAGCTCATGATCTAAAGAGATGGGTGCTATCCTCCATTTCTTCAGATCAAACCTGATTACCTCTTAACGTTTTTAATACATTGCATACAAATTTGTCCCTGGACGTGACATTACATTAAGTAACACCTTGGTGATTAGGCATTTCCTTTAAATGCTAAAATACAGTGATTTGGTTGAAGTGTTGCTAATGCCACTACATATAATTATTATACTCATAACTAAGCACTAAACCAACAAGAGTCATACAGTCCTGCCACTACATATAAATGTACAGATTCAAATAGTATTAAACTGTTATTCTAGTAGAAAGTGAAGAATTAGTTCTTATATTATAATCAAAAAGAGCTAAACCTACTAGGGTTATTAGGGAATTGAAGCTGTGCTTCAGTTCTCTGAATTGAGCCTGAATGTCTTCCATCCCCTCCCCCACAGGCACTGTATAATCCTACAGGTTTAGTGCTCCCCCATGATTATAATTATTATGATCTTACAGCAATAAGATTATACATTTCTCCAAGCTGGATCTCTCTCCTCAGGTTGTTTACTGTCAGCAGTAGTATCTGACATGAGACTGGGCCACAAATAGTGGAAAATCGAGCCTCCGACTTACACTGGATAAGCAACACAATCTTAACATTTCACAAAATATGAAATCCAGCTATTTACGGTCTTTTTCCAGGTTACATCAACATAGGCTATGGAGACAAGGCTGGCTATTATTTCTCCTCCACCTTCGTCATCTTTGGCTCCATGACCATCTTCCTCATCGACATACACAGGAGGAATGCAGCCAAACACAAGCACACCAACAAGTAAGGTTCCCTCTATTGTGGTAATGCTTTCATTTATGGATATATTTATTAGAAAAAGTTTTGGTCCTGGAACCCTGATCAAGATCCCAGAACTGAAATGGTTTCAAACATAAATAATAATAATAATAATAATAATAATGTTTAATTTAACATGATACATTGTTGTACAAAGGAATATAATAGTTGGGTGTGCATGCCAAAAGCCCCTTTATATGCAGAGCATTTTGGGCAAACTTAAAATTAACAAAAGATGAATAAGGCAATAACAGTTCAAATGGTTATTAGATGAGTTACAATGAGTACAAAATAATTCTATTAGGTAATGCTGTATGGCTGTAATAAGTCTAGTAGAGCAGTTCAGTATAGAATAATTACAGTTTTGATACAGTTTATAAAAAGTACAGTATTACAATTTAGAACAAGTTAAAACATTTACAATATGAAGAACAGTACATTTGAAAACACTGAGATTGAAACACTTATAAGTTTGAAGTAATGAGTAAATGGTTGAGCAATCATCAGCAATATGAAATAATGAAATTGGAACAATTTCAAGTTCAAAGTAGATTATCAAATAGTTGGGCAGTCTTAAATTAATTAGGAACTTCAGTAACTGGTAGGTATTAAGTAAAGTGTTTGTCTGGTTAATTTTGGGTGATGAGGTAATTTCCTGTAGTGTGTTCTGGCAATGAATTCCAGATCTTCGGGCTCTTTACGTGCATAGTATTTTTGCATAGGGAGAGATGGACATGTGGGATATCAAAGAGTGATTTGTGTCTTGTATTATGGCTGTGTGTTCTTTTATAGTTATCAAGGAGGAGTCTGAGAGCAGGGTTTATGTTTGAGTATAGTGTGGATGTTTTGTATATTAAGCAAATTAAGACTTCTGAAAAGAGGTGGAGTATGCTGTTTAGTGCAGGAGTTAGTACTCAATTGCACTGCAGCTATATGTTGGGTTATTGAAGGTTTAAGGTGATTTGCTGTGGTTGAGCCCCATGCACAAATACCATAGGTGAAGTAAGGGTAAATGAAAGAGTGGTACCATATTTTGATAGGATGTCTACTGTTTTGGAGATTTTCCTGGATATTTGCTGTATATGGGTTTGGAATTTGAATCTGCAGTCAAGGTGGAGATCTAGAAATTTGCCCTCTGTGTGTCTTGAAGTGGGTGAACCATTTATCAATATGTTTAGCTGTACATTTCAAGCTCTGTATCCAAATAGCATGAAGTAGGTTTTGTCTATATTGAAAGTAAGTTTGTTGGTAGTCATCCAGGTGGATATTTTTAGAAGTTCATCATTTACAGTGTCTGTTAGTATGGTTGGGTTTGGGTGAGAGAAGACATATGTAGTGTCATCTGCAAATAAAATGGGTTTAGGGAGCTTTGATGCATTTGGGAGATCATTGATGTAAATGAGAAAGAGAAGTGGGCTAAGGACACTACCCTGTGGTACTCCAACAAGAACAGGTTTTGTAGTGGAGTTAGCCCCAATTTGTGTATACATACTAGTTTCTATTTCTAAGATAAGATTTTAGGTAATCAAGAGTGTCCTTTGACCCTGTAATGTTCGAGTTTTACATGCAATAGGTCATGGTCAGCTGTATCAAATGCTTTTCATAGGTCTATGAAAAGTCCCAGGGGAATTTCATTTTTTCGAGTGCCGAATATATTAGTTCAAGTATATGTATAACTGCGTCATTAGTACTTTTTTTTTGGTCTAAATCTAAACTGACAGGGGTTGAGTATGCTGTGGGATACTAGGTAGGAGTAGACTTGTTTGTGAATTAATTTTTCAAAGATTTTAGATAGTAGGGGAAGATTTGATACAGGCAGTTGTTCAGTTCCACTGGATCACCTCCTTTGAGGATCGGGGTGACCCTTGCTGTCTTGAGTATGGATGGAAAGGTGGAAGATTCAATGGATTTGCTAAAGAGAGTAGCAATAATTGGTGACAACACATGAGAAGCTATTTTATACATGAGTAATGATAAGGTGTTTAGGACTCCTGTCTTGTTCTTTAGTGTTTTAGTGATAAGCGAGATTACAGTAGGGTTTGTTGGGGCTCGAAATAGAGTATTTGGGTAGTTACCATTGAGGTAGTCTTTTGGCTGAACGTTTGTGTTTGGGATTTTGCTTGCTAGCTTTGTTCCTACAGTCGAGAAAAAGATATTAAGTTTGATGGCATTATCTGTTGGCTGGAGGAGAGGTTCTTCTGGTTTTGTTAAGTTAATCATTCTGTTGTGAGACAGCTTTTTCCAGATCCTTTTCATATCACCTCTTATGTCTTGAAGTCTGGTTTCATGATGCAGTTTTTTTTTTTACCTTATTACATTAGTAAGTAAGTAAGTAAGTTAGTTTAATCAGGTATACACAAATACAGTTACATAGCTTATCATACATAGCATATGTGTAGAGAACCTAGGATAACCCAAAAAAGTCAGACAGAGTGACTTATTTCCATTGGGGTCCTTAGTACTGACTAGTGATGTTTTGCCAGATCATTTGTTATGAGACCCAGTCTGTACTGCTTTTCTTAAAGATGTTTTTTTATCAATAGATTTGATGATGCTGTTTGCAATCCAAGGGCTATTTAGTCTCTTTGCTGTGATCTGCTTAGTTTTTACTGGGCAATGCATGTTATAGAGGTTTTGGGTTTTTTGGAAAAAAAAATATGAACACATCAATAGCTAGGTTAACTGCTAGCTCGTTTTGCCAGTTGATGTTACTTAATGCTGAAATAGTCATTAACAGATGACTCATGTAATCAGAAGGTGATCTTGGTTGTGTCCTGAGGAAATTTACGTAAGTTAGTTATGATAAAGGTGGGGGTTTCAGGGGTCAACACCCCCCCTGGCCTGGTCACAGACCAGGCCTCATGGTGGATCAGGGCCTGATCAACCAGGCTGTTACTGTTGGCTGCACACAACCTGACGTATGAACCACAGCCTGGCTGGTCAGGTACTGACTTTAGCTGGCTGGTCAGGTACTGACTTTAGGTGCCTGTCCAATGCCTTCTTGAAGACAGCCAGGGGTCTATTGGTAATCCCCCTTATGTATGCTGGGAGGCAGTTGAACAGTTTTGGGCCCCTGACACTTATTTTGTTGTCTCTCATCATGCTAGTGGCACCCCTGCTTTTCATTGAGGGGATGTTGCATCGTCTGCTGAGTCTTTTGCTTTCACAGGGAGTGATTTTTGTGTGCAAGTTTGGTACTAATCCTTCTAGGATTTTCCAAGCATATATAATCATATATCGTACAGGTTGAGGAACTTCAAGCGTTCCCAGAAATTGAGGTGTTTTATTGCAGTTGTGTGTGCTGTGAAGGTTTTCTGTGCACTTTCCAGGTCAGCAATTTCACCTGCCTTGAAAAGTGCTGTTAGTGTGCAGCAATATTCCAGCCTAGATAGAACAAGTGACCTGAAGAGTTATCATGGGCTTGGTATCCCTAGTTTTGAAAGTTCTCATTATCCATCCTGTCATTTTTCTAGCAGATGCAACTGATACAATGTTATGGTCTCTGAAGATGAGATCCTCTGACATGATCACTCCCAGATTTTTTACGTTAGTTCTTCGCTCTATTGTGTGGTTGGAATTTGTTGTATACTCCGATTAATTTTAATTTCCTCACATTTTCCATATCGGAGTAATTGAAATTTCTCATCACTGAACTTCATATTGTTTTCTGCGGCCACTTAAAGATTTGGTTGATGTCCGCATGGAGTCTTGCGGGGTCTTCAATGGAAGACACTGTCATGCAAATTCAGGTGTCATCTGCAAAGGAAGACATGGTGCTGTGGCTTACATCCCTGTCTATGTCAGATAGGAGGATGAAGAACAGGATGGGAGAGCGTACTGTGCCTTGTGGAACAGAGCTTTTCACTGTAGCCGCTTCAGATTTTACTCTGTTTACTACTACTATTTGCATTCTATTTGTTAGGAAATTATAGATCCATCTACCAACTTTTCCTGTTACTCCTTTATCACACATTTTGTGTGCTATTACACCATGGTCACACTTGTCAAAGGCTTTTTTAAAGTCTGTGTATACTACATCTGCATTTTGTCTTCTAGAGCATCCAGGACCATGTCATAGTGGTCAAGTAGTTAAGACAGACAGGAGTAACCTGCTCTAAACCCACGTTGCCCTGGGTTGTGTAACTGATGGGTATCTAGAAAGGTGGTGATCTTGCTTCTTAGAACCCTTTGAAAGATTTTTATGATATGGGACATTAGTGCTATCGGTCTGTAGTTCTTTGCTATTGCTTTACTGCCCCCTTTGTGGAGTGGGGCTATGGCTGTTGTTTTTAGCAGCTGTGGGATGACCTCAGTGTCCATGCTCCCTCTCCACAGGATGTTAAAAGCACATGACAGGGGCTTCTTGTAGTTCTTGATGAACACAGAGTTCCACAAGTCTGGGCCTGGGGCAGAGTGCATGGGCATGTCATTTGGCATCATGGTAATATCAGATAGGTTCAAATCTGCCAAATTCTCTCATAAAAATTCATTTAGGTCTTCGACTGTCTGGTTAGTGGCTTGCTAAAAAATTGAGTCATACTGGGACTTGAGTAGCTCACTCATTTCCTTGCTGTCATCTGTGTAGGACTCATCTCGTTTAAGTAGGGGCCACATACTGGAAGTTGTTCTCAACTTTGATTTGGCATAAGAAAAGAAATATTTTAGGTTTCTTTCAATTTCATTTATGGCTTTTAGTTCTTCCCGCATTTTTGACTCCTGTAAGATTCCTTTAGCTTTAGTTCAATGTGGTCAATGGTGTTATCTGTGATTATGCCTGCTTTTAATGGGGATATAGTGTTTGTTCAGATATGGTCAAGCAATTATTATAATCAAGGGGGAGCACTAAACCCATAGGATTATACAGCACATGTAGGGGAGGGGGTTGATGGAAGGTATTCAGGCTTAATTCAGGGAACTGGAGCACAGATCCAATTTCCTAGATCAAGAGCCTCTCACCAGCATCAAGGAACCTCCCTTGAGGGGAGCATGGTCAAGCAAAGAGGCCTTTGTCTCTGAGATTCTTGTAGGTTCTGTTATAGTTGGCAGAAGCAAGCAGCTGCTCATAGTATTTGTGAATTCAGTTACTTGTGGGTCATGGTCATAGATGAGGTTTATGTTGAAGTCCCCTTTAAGTATTAGGTGGTGGTTATTCATCTCTGTGTCAGTTATCATGTTTCTTAGTTTTTCACTAAACGAGTAAATATTGGAGTGACGTACTCTGCAGATTGCTCCAACTGTTGAAGGGTTTAAGGCCTTTGGATTTAAATTTAGCATATGTATATTCACAATATTCATCCCTTGTGTAAATAGAATTTATACACTTCGTAATTGGTCTGGCCATGTAGCCAGGCATGGCATAGATGTTGGTAATGTCATGTTTCAGTGAGAGTAATGATAGACATACTGACATGTTGTTGTTGGCACTGAGTAGTGTTTTAGCCTGGTTAGCAGTGTAATGAAGGCAATTATTGTTAGAATCGTATACATCATTTAAGAAGAGGTTAATGTCATGATCAATGTTTGCAGTTGACTAATGCAGGATTAAGGATGTATAAGTAATAGAAAAGAAACTATGAACTATTAATAAGAGATGATGTAATGACTATGACAAGTATTAAATCAATACTGCACTGGAGGTAATATGAAAACTTATAAAAGGCAATAAAAAGTATTGGTATGTAAAGAGCTATTCTAAAAGAATATACAGAGACTAAACAAATAATAATACAAAAATATAAAACGTATTACAGAATGGATATAAATGCTCTGGAAAACGTACAGAGGAGGATGACAAAGATGATCCCATGTATCAGAAATCTTTCCTATGAGGATAGACTGAGGGCCCTGAATCTGCACTCTCTCGAAAGGCGTAGAATTAGGGGGGATATGATCAAGGTGTATAAATGGAAAACAGGAATAAATAAAGGGGATGTAAATAGCGTGCTGAAAATTTCCAGCCAAGACAGGACTCGCAGCAATGGTTTCAAGTTGGAAAAATTCAGATTCAAGAAGGATATAGGAAAGCACTGGTTTGATAATTTAAACCAGCAAATAATAGAGCCTACTAGACTGGAGAATACACTAGACCTCATATTCACTAACAATGATGATCTGATAAGAAATGTCACCATATCAAAAACAATATACTCAGATCACAACATAATTGAGGTTCAGACATGTATGCGAGGAGCCCCAGACCGACAAAATGAGACTAGTCGCGAGGGAGCATTCACCAAATTCAACTTCAATAACAAAAACATAAAGTGGGACCAAGTAAACCAAGTCCTAACCGATATAAGCTGGGAAGATATACTAAGCAACACAGACCCAAACTTATGCCTAGAACAGATTAACTCGGTGGCACTCGATGTATGCACAAGGCTTATTCCTCTAAGAAAAAGGAGGAGTAGATGTAAAATAGAAAGAGACAGGCGCTCCCTTTACAGGCGACGGAAAAGAATAACAGAGCGGCTAAAAGAGGTCAATATATCTGAAATGCGCAGGGAGACACTGGTCAGAGAAATAGCAAGCATCGAACTTAAGCTAAAAGAATCCTTTAGGAGTCAGGAATCGCGGAAGAACTAAAAGCTATAAATGAAATCGAAAGAAACCCAAAGTATTTCTTCTCCTATGCCAAATCAAAATCGAGAACAACGCCCAGTATTGGGCCCCTACTTAAACAAGATGGGTCCTACACAGATGACAGCAAGGAAATGAGTGAGCTACTCAAGTCCCAATATGACTCAGTTTTTAGCAAGCCGCTAACCAGACTGAGAGTCGAAGATCAAAATGAATTTTTTATGAGAGAACCACAAAATTTGATTAACACAAGCCTATCCGATGTTATCCTGACGCCAAATGACTTCGAACAGGCGATAAATGACATGCCCATGCACTCTGCCCCAGGGCCAGACTCATGGAACTCTGTGTTCATCAAGAACTGCAAGAAGCCCCTATCACAGCCTTTTCCATCCTATGGAGAGGGAGCATGGACACGGGGTCGTCCCTCAGTTACTAAAAACAACAGACATAGCCCCACTCCACAAAGAGGGCAGTAAAGCAACAGCAAAGACTACAGACCAATAGCACTAACATCCCATATCATAAAAATCTTTGAAAGGGTCCTAAGAAGCAAGATCACCACCCATCTAGAAACCCATCAGTTACACAACCCAGGGCAACATGGGTTTAGAACAGGTCGCTCCTGTCTGTCTCAACTACTGGATCACTACGACAAGGTCCTAAATGCACTAGAAGACAAAAAGAATGCAGATGTAATATATACAGACTTTGCAAAAGCTTTCGACAAGTGTGACCATGGCGTAATAGCGCACAAAATGCGCGCTAAAGGAATAACAGGAAAAGTCGGTCGATGGATCTATAATTTCCTCACTAACAGAACACAGAGAGTAGTCGTCAACAGAGTAAAGTCCGAGGCAGCTACGGTGAAAAGCTCTGTTCCACAAGGCACAGTACTAGCTCCCATCTTGTTCCTCATCCTCATATCCGACATAGACAAGGATGTCAGCCACAGCACCGTGTCTTCCTTTGCAGATGACACCCGAATCTGCATGACAGTGTCTTCCATTGCAGACACTGCAAGGCTCCAGGCGGACATCAACCAAATCTTTCAGTGGGCTGCAGAAAACAATATGAAGTTCAACGATGAGAAATTTCAATTACTCAGATATGGTAAACATGAGGAAATTAAATCTTCATCAGAGTACAAAACAAATTCTGGCCACAAAATAGAGCGAAACACCAACGTCAAAGACCTGGAGTGATTATGTCGGAGGATCTCACCTTCAAGGACCATAACATTGTATCAATCACATCTGCTAGAAAAATGACAGGATGGATAATGAGAACCTTCAAAACTAGGGAGGCCAAGCCCATGATGACACTCTTCAGGTCACTTGTTCTATCTAGGCTGGAATATTGCTGCACTCTAACAGCACCTTTAAGGCAGGTGAAATTGCCGACCTAGAAAATGTACAGAGAACTTTCACGGCGCGCATAACGGAGATAAAACACCTCAATTACTGGGAGCGCTTGAGGTTTCTAAACCTGTATTCCCTGGAACGCAGGAGGGAGAGATACATGATTATATACACCTGGAAAATCCTAGAGGGACTAGTACCGAACTTGCACACGAAAATCACTCACTACGAAAGCAAAAGACTTGGCAGACGATGCACCATCCCCCCAATGAAAAGCAGGGGTGTCACTAGCACGTTAAGAGACCATACAATAAGTGTCAGGGGCCCGAGACTGTTCAACTGCCTCCCAGCACACATAAGGGGGATTACCAACAGACCCCTGGCAGTCTTCAAGCTGGCACTGGACAAGCACCTAAAGTCAGTTCCTGATCAGCCGGGCTGTGGCTCGTACGTTGGTTTGCGTGCAGCCAGCAGCAACAGCCTGGTTGATCAGGCGCTGATCCACCAGGAGGCCTGGTCACAGACCGGGCCGCGGGGGCATTGACCCCCGAAACTCTCTCCAGGTAAACTCCAGATAATAGAGTTGTGGATGAGTGGAACAAACTCCCGAGTACAGTTATTGAGGCTAAAACATTGTGTAGTTTTAAAAATAGGTTAGATAAATACATGAGTGGGTATGGGTGGGTGTGAGTTGGACCTGACTAGCTTGTACTGCTGGTCTGGTGCCATGCTCCTTCCTTGAGTGGAGGTGACCAGACTGGGTGGGTCATTGGGCTAATCCGGGAGGGACATGGACCTGCTCCTCATGGGTCAGTAGGCCTGCTGCAGTGTTCCTTCTTTCTTATGTTCTTATGTATTAAACAAATTTAGACAGTAAGATTTGGCTTGTAGCACAAGATTTAAGCAACATAGGATATGAGGTAGTTGGTATGAACTAGTGAAAGTACATGTACAAGAGTTTGCTTATGTCTCTTTTTAAACTAAAGAATGTCACAAAGCTTTATAAAGAGCTACACAGAATAAAGCATGACTATTAAGCTCTACACAGAGCTAATTGTATTCACAATACATATAAGCTTGCTCTGCATCTGTCTTGAATGATGTTGGTGGTATATCTGTCACTTTACCTATTCATACATTCATAGTGGGAGTGCTAAACCTGTATGGGTCATGTAGTGCCTGAGTAATGAAAAGAATTAGGTTCATTCCAAGGAAGGGGAGGGGTAGATCTAGTTCCTCACATCAAGAGCCCCCCTCATCACCTTTGCTATAACAAAATTTTTACCTCTATTTAAACAAAATAGTAATTTTTCTGATTCCACTCAAGTGATATCTTGATGCCAGTAAGGGACTCCAGCTTGAATGCTTCTCAATTCTCAAGTGTTACATGACCCTTACAATTTTTGTGCTTTCTGCTGATTAAAAAAATAAACAATTTGCATTACTGATATGAAAATTACAAAATAAAATAAAAACTTTTGGTGAAAATAATGAACCCATTTGCACTACAGCACACTTCACAATGCAAAATACACAATAATGTTATAAACAGGTGTTCATGTTACCCTTTCATTGAAATATAGGTGTTATTAGTTGCACACTTCAATACTGCCTATTTATTGCATTATGCACCTTTGCAGATCTGGTGATAACCACACGTGTGTGAAGGAGACTTGCCCAGAGAGTCGAAGGAGGGACTCCCTGGCTCACCTAACCCGTGAACCATTCAAAACACACACACCATCCCTGGCACTTCTCCAACAGAGATCCTTTGCCTATGATGCCCCAGAGCAAAGGAATAAGCCTGAACTTACGTGTATTTCTGAGGAGGGCATAGCCGACATGGATATTCCTGACCACCTCCTTGATGACCTGGAATACCTCGGAGATTGCATCACCTCCTGCGACAAAGTAGAAAATTATCTCATGTTAAGTGAATATGAAAATAATCTAGTGAAAACAAATGAAATACCCTACTTAATGGATAAACGAGGGAGGAAACGTCTAATGTCCCTAACAAAACAAAATTCTTCAATTAATTGTAAGGACTCTCCAAGAAAAGTAGAAAAGTCTGGAGATAAAGGTGCTGCAGCCTCATCTGCCAGTCAGGAGGCTTCCAGCATGAACAACCAAAGGGCACACATTAGATCAGGCAACAACCGCAGTATTACAGTGATAGAGGAAGCCTCAGTATGAGAGTGTACTCTTAATATTACCTCATAGTAAGCAGGTAGCCTTCTTGGCACATGACTTGTGATTCCTCTCACCATTGGCATTTATTAGTGTAAGCTGTTGCTTACTACATAGTATGGTGAAAAAAAAAAAAAGTGTTGATAAATGTAATGCAATATATGACAGATCATTTCTGTGCATAAAAAACTATTGTCTTCCTAAAATAAAATTACATTTTATAACTGATGTGACATTCTGTACAAAGTCACAAATGGACAAAAATATTTAAATTTCAACTATAATGACGACACTCAGTGCAACCACATAATAAATACTTACTAAACAAATGTGTTATTTACTTCTGAAATTTTCATTCAAGTCATATTTCTCATTTAGAATTGTATTTGTAAATGTTTTTTACCCAAAGCTCATTCTCATTTTGAGGACATTAGCCATCATTATCCAAAAGTCTGTTTTTTTTTTTTTTTTTTTTTTTATTATCACACTGGCCGATTCCCACCAAGGCAGGGTGGCCCGAAAAAGAAAAACTTTCACCATCATTCACTCCATCACTGTCTTGCCAGAAGGGTGCTTTACACTACAGTTTTTAAACTGCAACATTAACACCCCTCCTTCAGAGTGCAGGCACTGTACTTCCCATCTCCAGGACTCAAGTCCGGCCTGGAGATGGGAAAGTACAGTGCCTGCACTCTGAAGGAGGGGTGTTAATGTTGCAGTTTAAAAACTGTAGTGTAAAGCACCCTTCTGGCAAGACAGTGATGGAGTGAATGATGGTGAAAGTTTTTCTTTTTCGGGCCACCCTGCCTTGGTGGGAATCGGCCAGTGTGATAAAAAAAAAAAAAAAAAAAAAAAAAAAGTCTGTTCTGTCCAAAAAAATTCTCTTTAAAGATTACTGTTTCAAACACCTTGTCATGTCTTACAAAAAAGTGAAATTATATAACTTGTGACAAAGACTATAAAAGTTTTATCAGCAATAGGTATATACACTTAGTCTTTATTGATACAATGTTGACCCATGAATAGCCTTCAAGTACACAACATGAGAAAAAATATAATTTATATAGAGTATCTAGGGCAGGTGGTCAAGTGGAACTATACCGATTAGTTGCAATGCAAGAGGCCTATTGGCCCATGCTAGGATTTGTGTGCTGTATAACCCTTGTAGTTTAGTGCTTTTGATTATAATAGGATTTGTGTTTTTTCAAGATGTGTGCTATGGGAGTTGCCAAAGTAAACACCCCACAATTTTGTTTCATGGTGCTATTTAGTTTGTAGAGTCAAAACACCTATGTTTAATGTAGATTTTTTTGAAATAGCAGCCTTGCTGTTTCTCACTCCATGATGTGGGTGTCAAGTGCTCCATTCTACAGGCATACTGAATTTGTGTTATAGGCTTGTGGTAAGACTCCTTGCATTTTCACCAATGTAAACTCAATCATATGCTGTAGACTTTCATATCCTGTGTAGGCTGGCTGTGGAGTTCTTCTTAATGTCTGGGATGGCTTTGATGGTAAAAGTTATCTAAGACATCACAAGAACCTTCATACCATACACAGGAGTCTACATCCCCTATAGAATTTACGTTGGTGAAATTGCTATGAGTCGTCTAATATGCCTATAGAATGGACAACTCGATGCAACACCCACACCCATATTATGGCGTGGGACAGAGCCAAACTACAGTTTCAAGGAAAAACAGGCACAAAGGTGTTTGGAGATATATACAATCAAACCATAAAACAAATTTTGGTATGTTCACTTTGACGACTCCCATAGCTGACCTAGTGGTGGGACACAGGTAACCTAGCATGGGCTGGTAGGCCTCTTGCATTACAACTACACATAGTTACACCTGACTATCCACACTAGATGCCCTATACAAGCTATTTTTCTCGCTGGTCTATGTACTTGATAAAGCCCACTTGTGGGTGAAATGCTGCACCAATAAAAACTTCACAACATTAAGTATTTATTCATCACTTGCTCTCAAACTCTTGCCCTAAAAGGTTAGATACCTAGCTAGCAAGTTTAAAAAGACTAGAGTAACCTAGCAAGAGCATTCCGTACAGCCACCAGACACTTCATTAATCTTATAATCATGTGACAAATACCAGCATCAGGAAAATTTTCTAAGTTCGCCTGGCAAAGCAAAACACCATCAACCAGTGTGTTACAACATGACAGAGAACTGTAAACTCAACACAAAAAAAATCTACAAAATCTGCATCAAGGCAGATATACACACACAGGATTCCCTGTGTGTGTATATCTTTCTTTTTCTCTCAACCAATCGACTGTTTCCCACTGAGGTAGGGTGGCCCAAAAAGAAAAACAAAAGTTTCTCTTTTTAACTTTAGTAATGTATACAGAAAAGGGGTTACTAGCCCTTGCTTCCAGCATTTTAGTTGTCTCTTAAGACACGCATGGCTTAGAGAGGAAGAATTCTGTTGTGTTGTGTTGAATGATGATGAAAGTATTTTCTTTCTTTTTGGGGATTTTCTTTCTTTTTGGGTCACCCTACCTCGGTGGGAGACTGCCGATGTGTTAAAAAACACACACACACACAAAAAAAACAACAATATATATATATATATATATATATATATATATATTATATATATTTATATATATATAATATATAATATATATAATTTATATATATATATATATATATATATATATATATATATATATATATATATAGGTAGGCTGGTGCAAGTATGAGTGGGGGGGGGGGGGTTTGAAAAGGATTGGAATAGTTTTAAAAATGCAGTATTAGAATGTGGGGCAGAAGTTTGTGGTTACAGGAGGGTGGGTGCAGGAGGAAAGAGGAGTGATTGGTGGAATGATGAAGGGTGTGATAAAAGAGAAAAGTTAGCTTATGAGAGGTTTTTACAAAGCAGAAGTGTTATAAGAAGAGTAGAGTATATGTATAGTAAAAGAAAGGTAAAGAGAACGGTGAGAGAGTACAAAAGGAGAGCAGATGATAGAGCAGGAGAGGCACTGTCAAGAAATTTTAATGAAAATGAGAAAATTTTTTGGAGTGAAACAAGTTAAGAAAGCCTAGAGAACAAATGGATTTGTCAGTTAAAAACAGAGTAGGGGAGTTAGAAGATGGGGAGATGGAGGTTTTGGGTAGATGGTGAAAATATTTTGAGAAACTTCTAAATGTCGACGAATAAGGGGAAGTGGTAATTTCATGCACTGGCCAGGGAGTTATACAGGTCCACCATCACAAATCTGGCAATCTGGTATTGTTTGGTGGTGCTACTTGCTGCATAAGTCATTCCAATTATATATATATAATATATATATATATATATATATATATATATATATATATATATATATTATATATATATATATATATATATATATATATATATATATACAGTGGACCCCCGCATACCGATTTTAATCCGTGCAAGAGGGCTCATTGGTATGCGAAATAATCGGTATGCGAATGAATTTTCCCCATAAGAAATAATGGAAATCAAATTAATCCGTGCAAGACACCCAAAAGTATGAAAAAAAAATTTTTACCACATGAAATATACATTTTCCTACACACAAAGAGAAGGATACATGCACAATAGTAGAGTAGTACATGCACAGTATATATTGTGCATGTACTACTCTACTAAATGAAGAATAAATGACACTTACCTTTATTGAAGATGCAGCAATGACTGATGAGACAGTGTGTCCTGGGAGTGCCTTTTCCTCCTGAGTACTGTAGGTCC